TGTGTGCTCTGTGTCAGCTCTGTAAGCAGCCCCCAGGGGTGTGGCTGCCTGTGCTTGCTGACCAGCATCTGCCGGGGCAGCAGAGAGCCTGGGCCTGTGACTGACGGATGGGCTCACAGTGATGGCAGTAACTTTGCAGAGCTGTCTGGCTTGGACTGAGCTGGTCCTGACAAGGAAAGTGACTGCTGCACACTCTCCCTCTCGAGCATCTGACTTCATTTCCTCTCAGGGAGAAGCTCCAGGAGCAGCACCCGGACCAGCACTTTGGGGTGACGTGGTTGTTTTTTGGCTGCAGACATAAGGACAGGGACTATTTGTTCAGGTATGGCAGGGTTTGGCCTTCCTGTGCTCAGCCACCAAGCATGGACTTGTAATATAGGACTTTTGAACTTGAAATGGCAGACTTTGTAGTGAACTCTTGCCTGTTGCATTTCAGAGATGAGCTTGGGCATTTCCTTAAGCTCAGGGTCCTTACTCACCTGAAGGTGTCTTTCTCACGAGATGTCCCAGCGGACGAGGAGGCAGCTCCGGCCAAGTATGTGCAGGACAACATGCGGCTTCACGCCAAGCAGTTGGCCAGGATCCTGCTCCATGAGAACGGTTCTATCTACGTATGTGGGTGAGTGGCCTTCATGCATCCATGCCAGACAAGACAAGAGTCAGGGATGTTTACAAACAAAACTAAAGACCGGGAGATGAACAGTCTTGTCACATGGCCACAAGGCATTGATCCCCATGGGTGAGTGATCTCGTCATGTGGTCACCAGACATTGATCCTCCTGGGTGAGCAATCTTGTTACGTGGTCACAAGGCATTGATTCTCAAGTGGGAGCATAGACTGTGGGTTCTGAAATGACACTGATGTATATTTAATAGCCAGGAAGTGGTCATGTTCAAGGAAGTAGTTGTGAAACTTAATTGTGTTTCAGAGTGCTTCATGACATCTTAACTATGCATTATAGCCTGTGAGAGTCAGACTCGGTGTTAAAGCGTTCACCTTGAACTAGAAATCTCAGGGTGGATTTTGTCCGTCCAAGAATGTGTGTACTTCTGTTATTATCACGTACAAGGCTGTGTTTACTTCTCTTTGCTGGCATCCCAAAAAGAATGTACATCCTTCTGCTGACATCACATGTGAGGACATCCATGCTTCCACCGACGTCATGCACGAGGACATAAGTCCTTACGCCAGCGTTGCATGGGAGGACATCTGTGCTTCTGCTGTTGACC